CAACTCGTGGCGGGTCTTGCCGGGGGCTGCTCCTCCCAACGCCCCGCAGAGGGCCGGGAGCTCTCCCGCCGCTCCTCGGGCCGGGATTTGCTCCCGAGGGGAAAACCTGCCCGTCCCTGGCAGGACAGGAGCCCCCCCGGGCTCTGCTGCAGCCCTTGGATCACCCCGAGCCCCCTCCGGCCCCAGCCCAGCCCGGCTGTGGGTTTTGGGCAGCTGGCAGGGGCTGTCCCCGCCCCGGAGCCCCTCGGGCATCTTGCTGAGACATCCCCTCCCCTTCCTCCTCCTCCTCCTCCTCCTCCTGGTGCACATCGTTTGCAAGCATCGCTTTCCTCCCCTCCCTCTTCCCGGGATTTCTGCGCAAAAAAAAGAAGATGCCACCGACTCTCCTGACCCCCTGAACCCCCGGGGGGAGCCGAGGGCTGGGGCTGAGGAGGGTTCGCAGCTGCCCCCGTGCCCCGAGGGGGGGACATATGGGGGGTGACAGTCACCGAGAGGAGGAGGAAGGAGAGGAAATGTGTGTTTTTCTCAGTGCTCGGCCTTCCCCGCTCCCGGGAACTTGGTGGCTCCGGAATATTAAGAGGCAGGAAAGTTAATTAATGCCCAGAACAAAGCCGGGGCTGTTTTGGCTGCTGGGAGAAGGAAGCGCTGGAGACAGGAAGGGAAGAATTGGTGTCTTCTTCAGTGGTGTCTTATCAGCAGCTCAAATCGAGGTGGAGCCCGGGGTGGGGGGGGAGGGATTCGTTTTTTGGAGGGTTCGTGGCAAAGGGCAGGATGGTGTTGGGAGAGCCACGGGAGCTGAGCTGGGCACAGGGAGGGTTTGAGGGGCTGTCTGGGAGCAGCACAAGGTCCGGCTGAAGGAACAAAGGCGGCTCAGGAGCGGGAGTGGAGCGAGCCAGGCCCTTGGCTGGCACCCAGCAGGAATCCGAGTCCAACATGTGTTTGAAATCAGGGGCTCAACTGCTACAAATGGGAGCGCAGGAATTGCCAGCTTGGATCGTGCCCAGGGTCCGTCTCTGCCACTGCCCTTGGCACTGCCAGGGACCGGCACCCGGCTCTGGGAGAGGCACCAGAGCCCCCGGAGCGACCCCGTGTCCCAAATCCACCCCACGGGGCCACCCCGGGGCTACCACAGGGATCCCTGAGCTCCTCATTCCCGCGGCAAATCCGCTCTCCCTCGTCCACGGGAGCATCCAGTGGGATCTCACCATCCCAAATCCACCCCGGGGATCCCTGGGCTCCTCATTCCCGCTGCAAATCCGCCCTCCCTCATCCACAGGAACATCCAGAGGGATCCCACCATCCCAAATCCACCCCACGGGGCCACCCCGGGGATCCCTGAGCTCCTCATTCCCGCTGCAAATCCTCTCCCCCTCGTCCACGGGAGCATCCAGTGGGATCCCACCGTCACCCCCCCGTCTGTCTGTCCGTCCAGCCGCGGGAATTCCCGGGGGAAAACCAGCCCAGCCGGGGGAACAGGGAGGTGATTTGGGGACAAACTGAGCTCGTCCTTCCCCCCCTCTCTGCCCCGTGCGGCTCCCGGGGCCTCACCCCGTGCCCTCCAGCGGAGGAAGAGGAGGGTGAGGAGGAGGAAGGGGCGGAGGACGGGGCTCGGGCTCTCTCTGCTGCCCAGGTGATGCTTCCCCCGCGCCAGCAGAGGTGCCGGGGGCTAATCAAGATCGACGTCGGAACAAAACAGCGGCTCGGCAGCCCCGAGCCAGCGGGAAGGGGGAAGCAGATGGGCTGGAGGAGGCAGGAGCTGCTCTAAATGGATTGATGGAGGGGCCTTTGAGGGAGATGGATTGGAGACGGAGCCGCTGGAGGAAAGGGCCGGGGTGGCCACGCTGTGAATGGGGCAGGGGCCCAGGGACGGGATGGGAAGGGAGAAAGGCCCGCAGATAACAGATGGATGGACACAAAGACTGGAAGGGAAGAGGGGGACAGATGGACAAGCAATAGAGAGAGAGTCGGGAGGAGAGAGGGATCTGGACATAATTAGATTGGATCTGATTATGACAGACTCGATTAGAGCAATATTATGATCAGGAGCTTCTGTCGCTATTTGGCTTTTAGGGGGGAACAAAAGCCAGGGGAGGGGGGACGAGCAGAGGAGCAGGGAACGGGGCAGGATGAAAGGGAAAAAAGGGAAGGGGCTCCTTGTGAAAGCTGTCAGGGGTGGTGGTGACAGATTGTGTGGTTATGGAGCACCGGGGCCGTCTGTCACCGACAGAAACCTGCCCGGAAAAAAAGACAAAAGGGGCTCCCAGAGCCCGGGGCTCCGTCCCTGCCCCGGGGCTGAGCACTCCAGGAGCTCCCTGGGAGGAGCAACCACGGCTGGGTGTTCCTCAGACACCCTCCATCCCAGCCCCAGCCCACCTGAGGGCAGGAGCACACATGTGAACACGCGTGTGAACACACGGAGGGCACGGCCTGGCCCTGCCCGTGGATGTGCCAGCCCCGAATTCCTGCCCCCAAAAGCCTCCAGTCCCGGCTTTCACACTCTGGGGGGGGCTAATTGGGGGGTTCAGGACCTGAAGGGGCTGCAAGAGACATGGGAGAGACTTTGGAGAAGGGCCTGGAGTGGCGGGACAAGGGGGGCGGGTTCAGGGTGACAGAGAGGAGGTTTGGGTGGGTGTTGGGAAGAAATCCTTGGGGAGGCCCTGGCACAGGTTATTCCATGGCTGCCCCATCCCTGGGAGTGTCCAAGGCCAGGCTGGAGCAACCTGGGCTGGTGGAAGGTGTCCCTGCCCATGGCAGGGAGGGAACAAGGGGAGATTTAAGTTCCTCTCCCACCCAAACCGTTCTGACACTGATTGACAGAGGATCATCACCCCCAGTGAAGGTTCACGGGCTGCCCCGGTGCTTCTCCGCAGAATCCCAGAATCCCTGAGGCTGGAAAAGCCCTCCCAGCCCCTGGATCCACCCCATGCCCCATCCCCACCTCGTCACTCGGTGCCACGTCCAGTCCTTCTACAGAGGGACCTTCCTGGAGGGGTGGGGGCACAGCCAGTGGGGTGACGGCCCCAGGGGAGGGGCAGGAGCTGCAGAACCCCCCGGGATGGATCTTTCCAGGATCTCTGGGTCGTGCCCGGGATCTCCATCCCGGTCTCCCACCCGTGGGCTGGAATTGCAGCCCCTCCCCGTGTCCCACCCCGGCTCCAGCAGCTCCAGCAGCTCGGGGGTTAAAGCTGCCTCTGCTCCCAGACAGGGCCACTGGTCCCCGGTGGCTTCCTACAATATGTCACCTCAGCTCCTGCCAAATGCTGCCTCTTCCAGCCTCTCTCCAAACCTCTCCCTGCGCACGCAGGAGCTGCTCAGGGTCCCCCCCCCAGCCCCTGCAGCTGATCCCTGAGCCCCGGGGGGTCCCAAAAATCACAGATTCACGGGATGGTTCGGGTTGGAACGGACCTCAAAGAGCATTTTGTTCCAATCCACCTCCCACCAGACCAGGTTGCTCCGACCTTGGACACTTCCAGGGGTGGAGCATCCACGACTTCCCCGGGTCAACTTGTGCCACCACCCTCCCAGGGCAGGATTTCTCCCTCATATCCACTTTAAGCCCCTGCTCTGGCAGTTTGAAGCCGTTCCCCCCTGTCCTGTCCCTCCATGTCCAGATCAAGGTGGACAAACCCTGGGGGGCTTCACCCCCTTGGATGGAGACACCACCAAGGACCCACCTGGGTCCCTCAACCTCACAGGTAAAGCCTGAAACCAGAGACAGGTGTGAAAACCTCGGCTGTGCTTCCCAACCTCTTCCTTCTTGCCCCCTGCGTTGAAAGGGAGGCCCAGGAATCCCAAGGAATGAGAGATTTCCGCAGGCTCCTGTTTAGGGGCTCCTGCCAGAGAGAAACCGGGTTGGTTTTGATGTGGAAAACCAGTTTCTTCCAAACAGGAACACTCAGAAGGGAAGGACAAAGCCAGAGGGGAAAATAGGTGAATATTTCCAAAGGATTTCTGGCTGTGGACTCCCCAGCCCTGGGAGAAACTCACTTGACTGGAGACGAGTCGGAGGGAGCTGAAACCTTCCCGTTCATTTGGCCGAGCCTGAGCCCGGGATCCCAGCGGGGAAAGCTCTGGAAGCAGCTCCAATCCTTCCCCCCTCTCTTCCCGGCAGGATGCCCGGAGCAGCCCGGGATCAGCTGCGGAGAGAGGGGGGCCCTGCTGGCGGCCTGGCAGGGGGAGCAGAGCCGGGCCCGGGGGCGGGCGGGGAATTAAACACCGGCAGCACATCCCGAGCCTCCGGGGAGCCCCGGCAAGGAGGGAGGAGGGGGATGTGCCCGCCCGGGAGGGGGGCGTTTGGGGTGGGATGTGCACCGGGAGGTTTGGGAAGGGGAGGATTTGGGATGTGCGAGGGATCGGGACATTTGGGAAGGGGAGGATTTGGGACGTGCGGGTTTGGGAAGGGGGGGATATTGGGGAAGGGGAGGATTCGGGATGTGCGGCGGGCTGGGAGGTTTGGGAAGGGGGGATTTGGGATGTGTGAGGGATCGGGACATTTGGGAAGAGGGGCGTTTGGGGTGTGCAGGGGGCTGGCGGATTTGGGAAGGGGGGAATTGGGGAAGGGGAGGATTTGGGATGTGCGGCGGTCTGGGAGATTCGGGAAGGGGGGATTTGGGATGTGCAAGGGATGGGAGGTTTGGGAAGGGAGAATTTGGGATGTGCGGTGGGCTGGGAGGTTTGGGAAGGGAGGGATTGGGGAAGGGGAGGATTTGGGATGTGCGGCGGGCTGGGAGGTTTGGGAAGGGAGGGATTGGGGAAGGGGAGGATTTGGGATGTGCAGGGCGCCGGGAAAAGGCGCTGTGGGGTTGTGTGTCCATGTTCCTGGTGGAGAGGGGGATTTGCTCTCAGGTGATGGATGCGATGGATGCGCTGGATGCGGGACGTGCGCGGCGCATCCCGGGCGGGATCCAGGCGGGATCCAGGCGCGCCTCGGGCTCGGGGCGGACTCTCCCGTCGCCACGAGCTCATTAAGGGAATATTGTCTCCTAATCGGTGCCATAGCAATGGCGAGGAGGCTCCGGAGCCGCCACCTGATCCCTCCGCCTCGGCAAACCCCGGGACCATCTGCCGAGCCGTGCCAGGCGCTGGAGCCCACCCAGGCGCCCGTGCCCATCACCTGGGCTTCGCCTGCTGTGCGGGGAGGGCATCGGCCCCCGGGGCTGCCGGGGGGGGGGTACGAGGAGGAGACAAAGGTGGGAGAGCCCGGCGAAGGCGCTGGGAGGTGAGGGAGGCCCCCAAATTGGGGTGGGGGGGACACACGCGGGGATTTCGGGGCAGCGAGGATGAACCGGGGCGGGTTTTCTCCAGGCGGAGTTTTGACGGGAAGAATTGGAGCGGGGTGAGAGGCAGAGGCCGGGGAAGACGCCGAGAGATCATCGTCTGCTGCTCCGAGTGTTTCGGAGCAGTGTCTGTGTCCTCCGGGCTCCCCTTTCCCCCGCTTTGCCCTCGGTTCCCTCGCCAAACTTCGTTCAGGTGGATTTTTCCAGCAGCTCACGGGCGGGACCTGCGGGATGGGGGCTGTTCGTGGTCTGGGCACCCACCCGGGCTCAGCCACCCCCGGGGGCACCGGCGGCATCCTCGGGGAGCTCCACAGGGACACACGGACACACTGACACACGGACACGCAGCCCCGTGACACACAGACACGGACACACGGACAGGCAGCCCCGTCACACCCACGGCCCCGGGGGCCGCCGGGATCCACTGGGAACGATCCCCCCTTCTCCCGGCGCCGCTCCCGCCGCCCCCTCTCCCCGTCCCGTCCCCTCTCTCCATCCCTCCCCCTTTATGAAATATGCAGGGGGAACAGATGTCGCCTTCTCCCCGAGCACCCCCGCCCTCCCTCCCTTCCTCCCTCCCATCCCACCACCCCACCCACCCTCCCGGACCGCATCCAACCTCCCCCTCCCTCCCCTCCCCTCCCGGGGCTCCCCCTTCCCCCCCCCAGCCAATGGCAGCCCCTCGCCCGCCCTAAATATTGATGAGGGGGGAGCGGCCGAGCGGCCAATGAGACACTCGGGGTCGGGCCCGGCGGGCGAGGCCGGGCTGGATAAATAGGGTTTGGGGAACATGCCCCCTCGGAGGCTCCGAAGCCACGCTCCTGCCCGGCAGGGACCATGCCCGGGCCCCGAGGCTGCCGGGATTCTCCCTGATTTCCCCCCCAAAATCCATCCCGCGGAGCAGGGAGAGCGCCCAGGGAAACTTTCTCCCTTCTCCATGGATGGATGAGCCAAGGGGTTCCTCCCTCCTCCTTGGATTACTGGAGCTTCATCCCGCTGGAAGAGGAGAGCTGGACCTCGGGAATGGTCATCGGATTGGGGGTAAGGGGGGTGTCCTGGAATGGGGGAGGGATGGGGAGTTAAACGGCACAATCCATGTGGGAATGTGGCCCTGGACTCCCGGGAAAGGGGCTTGACCCGGGTGCCGGGTTTAGCACCCAAACCTGCTCGGCGCTGGCATGGGAGGACTCGGAGCAGGAAAAAGGAAAGGAAACCTCCATCCTGGTGGCCTAAAAGCGGGTCCCGGACACACTTTGCGTGGCCAGGGAGCTTCCGAAGAGAATTGTCGGGAAAATTGTCGCCTCACGGGCCGGAAGTGGAAGGAAAAGGGTGAGAGAGGAGGTGGGAAGCGTCGCTGCCCCTCGGGGGTCTGAGCGCCGGGGGGGCTTTGCTGAAGGCAGGACTGCAGCAAGGGCAGGTTAAAAAGAAGTTCTTGCAATAGATGAATTTAGGAAGGCGGCAATTTGCAGCTTATCCAGGGGAAAGAGGGGGAAAAGAGCCGCTTGGAGCACGAGTCTCCCGTGCAAAGGAAAAGCTTTGGTGGGACTGGGCTAACCCAGCGAAGGAGGAGTGGGAAAAGGAGTTTATTGGAGTCCAGGACTGAAACTGGGCTTCAGGAGTCTGGGGTCTCCTCCCGACATCCTGAGCCCCCCTGGGGGGGCCTCCTGCCCCCCTTTTGGGTGTTTGATGCTCCCTCAATTCCCTCCCGAGGATGCGGAGCCGGGGACAGCGACACGTCCCACGGACCGTGCCCAGGGGGGTGGCGGCTCCCGGGCTGTCCCTGCTCCAGGTCACCGTCCCTGTCTGCCCAGGGAGCTTCCAGGATGAAGTGTCCTGCTCCTTCCTCGCTGCGGGTGTCCTGGGGATGGATCGGGTGTCCTGGGGATGGATCGAGTGTCCTGGGGATGGATCGGGTGTCCTGGGGATGGATCGGGTGTCCTGGGAGGCGGTGGTTTGTCTCCTTCCCCGCGCTGGAGGGATGGAGGCGGCGGAACCGCTCCGTGGTTTCCCGCCGGGGCGTCTCATCCACACCCGGATTGAACCTCCAGCACCTGGATTGACTCTGGGTCTGCGGAGCAAGAGGAGAACGGGTCTGTCGTGGGAGTGGGGTGGGAGGGAGGCAGAGGAGCCGGGAGGCAGCGCAGGAGACCAAATTCCCGGTGCCTCGTTCGAGGAGAACAGGAGTGTGATGCTGGATGTCCAGACCCTGGACATCCACGGCCCGGGAGGTGGGAAATGTGTCTGTGCGTGTGCAGGAACCTGTGTGTTCGTGTCAGCGAGCAAAGACCCCGCCAGACACATTTTGGGGGGCTCAGGGGGCCCCGCAGACAGTTCTGCACACGCCGATGGGGCTCCTCACGATTTTAGGGCATCACTGCTGCAAAACCTCACATCCTGCAAGTCTTTTAAACCAGGATTGGGATTATTTCTCCCGTCCCTGTTGGTTTTGTTCCATTTCTCTCGGCTCTGGCTCAGCATAAGTTTCCCTGAGAGAGGTCGTGGCTCGTCCATCCCTTCCCATCCCGGCAGCGCTTCCCCATCCCAAGTTTGTCCCCCTTCCCCTTCCCACCTCGGCAGTGCTTCCCCATCCCAATTTCGTCCCCCTTCCCCTTCCCAGCGGGAAGATGCTCCTGCGGCAGGACCCGCCTTTCCCAGCCCTGCTTCCCGGGGCGCTGGAGGCGTCTGTGCGGGCACAGGGAAGGAGGAGGAGGGGGAGCAGAGGCGGAATTCCCGGCCGGCGGCGCAGCATCCCGGCGGGAGCATCCCGCAGGGAGCATCCCGGTGGGAGAATCCCGCAGGGAGCATCCCGGTGGGAGAATCCCGCAGGGAGCGCGGGGCCGGCGCCTCTGCGGCCACACGAGGCCGAGCAGCTGCCTCCGAGGGTTCCATATGTCGGGGGCGGCGGGATCGGTGACATACGGGGCTCATTTAGCGCACAATGACCCCCCCTCCCGCCCTTCCCCTCGCCCCCGCGGGCTGGTTTTTTCCCCCCTTCCCCTCATCCACCACCTGCCATCCCTCCGGAGCGCCGCGAGAAGCGGCTCCCACCTTCTCCCAGATCCTCCCCGCCGGCTCCTTCTCCGGTGGGATGAGGGGATGAGACCCCCCCCCCCTCTCCGCGCTTGTGTTTTCCAGAGCACCCGGGAGGAGTCGGGCTCTGACACCTGAGGGCTCCCGGCCCGCGGCAGGAGGACACCCGGCCCCGTTTATTTATTCGCTTTTTTATGCCTCCCCCCGCCCTCCCCGCGCCGCTCGCCGCCGAAGTTGTCGCCCGGGGGAAAATGTCCCGATTCCCTCGCGTGTGATGAGGAGGAGGAGGAGGAGGAGAGCAGCACCCGGGGGGTCGCCGCCGTGAGAGCCGCCAGAGCTCGTCGGAGCCGAGATCGGTGCCCTGTCCCCGACGCGTCCGTTTGTCCGTCCCCTGGAAAATGATGCTCAACTCCGACCAGGCGGAGCTCGACCTCCCCCCGCCGCGCCCCGAGGCCGAAGGCGCTTTCGGCGGGGGCAGCGCCGAGGGCTCCGGGGGGGGGGTCGGGCTGTGCCCCCCGGCCCCGGGGGAGAAGAAGGAGCTGCAGCACCTGAGCCGGGAGGAGCGGCGGCGCCGGCGCCGGGCCACGGCCAAGTACCGGACAGCCCACGCCACGCGCGAGAGGATCCGCGTGGAGGCTTTTAACATGGCCTTCGCCGAGCTGAGGAAGCTGCTGCCCACGCTGCCCCCCGACAAGAAGCTCTCCAAGATCGAGATCCTGCGCTTGGCCATCTGCTACATCTCCTACCTGAACCACGTGCTGGATGTCTGAGTGTCCCGTCTGTCTGTCTGTCCCTGTGCTACATCTCCTGCCTGAACCACGTCCTGGATGTTTGAGCGTCCCCAGCTCATGTCCATCCGTCTGTCCGTGTGTCACATCTGCTACATCTCCTACCTGAACCACGTCCTGGATGTCTGAGCTCACATCTGTCTGTCTGTCTGTCCGTGTGTCAGTTCTGCTACATCTCCTACCTGAACCACGTCCTGGACGTCTGAGCATCCCCAGCTCCCGTCTGTCTGTCTGTCCCATCATCCAAACCACGTGCTGGACATCTGAGTGTCCCCAGCCCACGTCTGTCTGTCTGTCCGTGTGTCACATCTGCCTGAACCACGTGCTGGACGCCTGAGCCACCCGGTCCGTGTCCGTCTGTCCATCCACTGCCTCCCCTTCCTGAACTCGTGCCGGGAACTTCCGAGCCCAGAGCTCGAGTCCGTCTGTCCCTCCGCAGCCTGAACTCCCCCTCAGGCACCTCGAACGCTGTGCTGTGTCCGTCTGTCTGTCCAAACGAGCCCCCGGCCGTCTGCTCTCCCCCTGCCCCGCCCACGGTCCGGATTTCCCCGCCACCGACCCCACGTCCGTCTGTCTTTCCGTCCTGCCCCAGCCCAGCTGGACGTCTGGCCCGTCAGATGTCCGTCCGTCCTGCCCAGGGGGGTCTCCGAGGTGTCCCACCCCTGTGCCAGCCCGGAGCAGCCCCCGGGGTCATTCCCAGCCCCTCAGTGGCTCCCCAAAATCCATCATCCCGCTCCCCAGTCCCACCAGTAGGGCACTGGTGTGGCCCCTCCCTCTCCCAGCGGGGTGGGAACTGCACTTTACCGGGGCCGGGATGGGAAGGAAGCAGGAACGGCCCCTTCTCCCGCTTTCCAGCAGCTTCCAGCAGCTTCCAGCAGCCAGGAATGTCCCCTGAATCCCCCCCCCCCAAACACTTGGGGAAAAGGAAGGGAGAGGGAAGGGAAAGCGGAGCTGAGGGCGGGAAAACTCGTCTCAGGAGTGAATGTTTTGCCTCGTTTTGGGGCCGTTTGGGCGGTTTGAGGGTTAATTTTGCACTGGCAGCGGCGGGAGCACGAGCAGGAGCCCCAGGAGGGGGGACCAGGACCACTTGGACACAACATTCCAGGTCAGGAGCAGAGCCAGGGAATGGGAATGGGGGGCAGGTTCCCGGGGAATGGGATGGGGCTGCTCCTCCTCCAGCCGGGCAGGGATCGGGATTTTGGGAGGCCAGAGGTGGAACTGCTGCAGTGTGAGGGGCAGGGAACCCCACCAGACCCCCAGAGCTGGAACAAAAGGGTCCCGGGGCCGCCTGGGACCCCCTTCCCGGGATTTTGGGCGCTGCCAGAGCTTCGTGTCCCAGCCCCACAAGGCCCCAGCTGGGATTCCCGGGATTCCACACCTTTCCTGGCTCCATCCCACCCCTCTCTGCCTCCAGTTCCCAGCACCACCTCGCTCCATACCTCATTTTTCCCCCTCCCCACGGAAGCAGGGAGAAGGATCTCTACCTCTGTCTGGCTTGTCAGTGAATGTCGGATCCCGGAGGGCTGGAGCAGCTGATTCCAGAGGGCTGGAACAGCCAGATCCCAGAGGGGCTGGAGCAGCAGATCCCAGGTCTGGCTCCCCCCCATCACCCCAGAGCAGAGCAGATGAGCCCAACCCTCCCTTCCCCTCCAGTCACCAGTCTCTGTGCCACGAGGATATTTATTGAATTAATTTATTGAGAAATGTTATTATTATTATTATTATTATTAATTATTATTATTTATTTGCCGTGTTGTTGTGCACTTTTGGGAAAGGAAAAAGGAGGAAAACGAGTGTAAAAAAAAATATCAAGATCACGTCGGGAAAACCCTCCAGGGCCACCCTCGGATTCCCCGTGTTCGGCTGCTCGGACCGTGCAAGGATTTATTATTTATGAGCTCACAAGGAAGGTGGGGAGGGGGGAAACGAATTAAATCGCCAGCACAAGAGAGATCTTGAACTCGCAGCGCTCAGCTTCACGTTTTCTGTCCTTTTTTTTCTTTAATTTTCAGCCCGTGTTTCAACATCCCTGTCGGGTGGTGAGAGGCGGCGGGAGGGAGGATGTGCCCTCCTGGCAGGACTCGGAGCGCCTTCGCCTTTCCCGGCCCTGTCGGAGCCCGGTTTGGCTTTGCTGGGACCGGCAGCAGAGGGATGAGGGCGCCCGGTCCCCCCCCGGCACCTCCAAACCCCGACAAACCCCGAAAATCCCTGGAATATCGGGGCGGCCCCGAGCGCGGCGTCCCCCGAGGGTCCCTCTCGCAGCTCTGCCCACCCCCGGAGCCCCCCCGAGCCGTGCCGGGGGTGGTGGGGGGAGATCGCGGCTCCTTTGTCCGCGTCCCCCGGGGCGCGGCTGCAGCTGCTTCCCGACCCGCTCCAAATTTCTTCCCATAATCGATTGGCCTCGGCTGCGGCTCCGCTGCGGGGATGCGCCGGAGGGAAACCACAACCGGGGGGGGGGAGAGGGAGGGCAAGACGGGGCTGGAGGGGCAAGAGGGGGCACGGGAGGGGACCTCGGGGGTCCTTTTTGTCCCAGCTCGTGGATGGAGGATCGAGAATGGTTTGGGTGACAAGATCTTGTTCCAGTCGATGGCAGGGGCACCTTCCACCAGCCCAGGTTTGCTCCAACCTGCCCTTGGGCACTCCCAGGGATGGGGCAGCCACAGCTTCTCCGGGCAACCTGTGCCAGGGCCTCCCCACCCTCACAGGGAGGAATTTGTTCCCAATATCCGACCTAAATTTCCCCTCTGTCATTCCCCCTTTGTCCATCACTCCGATTCCTGATGAAACGTTCATTTCTCCCCTCGGGATGCTCCGTGTCCCCCCTCCTGCCCCCAGACCCGGCTCTTCTCCCAACCCCTCCAGCTCCAACCTCCCCACGTGGATCATCCCCGTCCCACCCCTCCAGGAGCTCCGGGAGGGAACATTCGGGGTCAGGGCAGCCCCAGCTCCGTGGCAGTGACTCCCAAACCTCTTCGGGGCCCGTTGTCCCCCCTGCCAGCCCCCGGCCCTGACATATGGTCCTCATTGTGCCTCTCACAATGGGAACGCTCGGCGCTAATTTGGATGCTGGCTCCGGCCTCGCAGCCCCGCTCCTCCGACAGATCGGGGGTCCCTGGATGTGCTTTGTGCTCCAAAAGGCGGCTCAGCTTCTCCTCTGCCTCCCGCAGCGTTTTCCTACACACTTCCCAACTCATTCCCTGCTCCCTCCTTCCCAGCTCTCTGTCCCGGGCTCTTGGGACGCTGCTCCCGGTGCACGAGGAACGTGGTGCTTCCCGGGGGGAAAAATCCCCCTGGAAAACGGTCCTGGAGGTGAGAGAAACGGCACAAAAGCTGCTCAGCTGCCTCTGCCCGGCGGCATTTCCGTGTCCCTGCCCGGGGATGACACGGAGGGGACGGTCCTTGGCCCGTTTTCCACGTCCTTTCCTCTCCCTGAAAGGAGCAGCCGAGGCGGGACGGGACCCCCTGGGTTGGGA